TGGAAAAAGAAGGACTTGGTGTTTAGAGAATACTTTTTCATGGCAGGCACCACTCCCGGGACAGGAGTTGTCTCATTTAGTACCCCACCCCCACTAGGGGGAGGGTGTTTTTATCATCCACATTTTATAAATGAGAAAATGGAGCCACAGAGATGTATTTTGCTTGAAGTAAATGGCAGAGAGAGGATTTGAGTCCAGGTCATCTGTTCCCAAGCCTGTACTTTCCATCTCTACCTAAAATAAGTAACAAGAAAAACAAGAAGAGGGGAGAGGGGAGGGGAACCAGCAGCAAAAGGAATGGGCAGAGCAACATGTACCAATAAGGAAGGAATACACAGAAATAACGCCAACGAAAACGTTATAGAAGAATATATGCAATATGTAAGTTTTTAGGAAATGGAAATGATGGTGCTCCATTGCTGAGGGAGATGCCGCCCATACAGTGCTGATGGAAAGGAATGCCTGAGAACGGAATCTCCACATTCAGCTAGGGGCTGCCTCGGAGTGGATGGTGCCTAGGGTGGGGAGGCCACAGGGGACCCACCAGATTTCAAACGATGAGTCAAGTTTTATTTTTTAAGCTGGGTGGTGGGAACATAGGTGTTTCAGTATTTTTTTTTCTTATGCCTTTTTAATATGTTAAATGTTGCATAATGTTTTAAAACTCCATCCCAGTGCAAAGCATACTAGTAGAGGTGCTAAGAAGCAGGATCTCTGATAATGGGCAGTGCTCTGAGGAGGAAGGTTGAAGAGAGAGGGTAGATGGAATTCAGGCAGAGATGTGTGGTCTTGCAGAGAGGACTTGAGCCAATGTTCTCTGACTTCGGCCATCCAGGGATCCCATCTCTTCATAAACTTGTCACACCTTCCCTGAGCTCACAGCTTCTCGCCCAGAGCCTCTCCCACCAAGCCTCAAGCTAGCTAGTAGCATTTTAGAATAGCCACTTGAAGAGGGTGGTAAGATGTCCTCTAGATAGACACGGTGAAACCCTAACCCCTGGGTTACCCAGGTGGGCCCTCAGTGCAATCACATAGATCCTTGGAAGAGGGAGGCAGAGAGAGATTTGACACACACACAGAGGACTTGCAAATATGACCTTTTTTTTTTTTTTTTTTTTTTTTTTTTTTTTAATAGGGTCTTTGTAGACATATTAGTAGTCAAATTAAGAGAAGTTCCTACTGGATTAAGGAGTAGCCCTAATCCAATGGCTGGTATTTTTATAAGAGGGCAATAAAGACACACAAGGATGCCCTCTATGGGAGGAAGAGATTGGAGTGTTGTGTCTGTAAATCAGGGAAAGCCAAGAATCACCAGCCACCACTGGAAGTTAGGAGAGAGGCATGGGAGATTCCCCCTTCGAACCTCCAGGAGGAACCATTCTGATTTCAGACTCCTACTCTCTGGGGCTGTGGGACAACAGATTTCTGTTGTTTTCAGCCACCAGTTCGTGAAAATTTGTTAGGACAACCCTTGGAAACAAACTCCGAGAACTATGGCCTCTCGGACACATCCGCTGGAATAAACAGCATGCATTTGTGATCTGAGATGAAAACAAAAGCAAATCACTCTCAGGTCCTGGAACTCATTTTTCCTAAAACGTACCAGATCCACCCCTGGCCATCTCTGACGGCCCAACCAGATCTACTCGGAGCGCCGTCTGCGGCAGCGGCCTCGCACGGGCGGCTGTGTATGTGGAATGAAAACTGTGCTCATCATCCTGAGGCCTCTGGTTTCACATGATTTCTGCATTTTCCTGCCCTTTATTCCTTTGGGATAGAGGGGGAAGGAGGAGACCTCGGTTCCCAGCAGCATGCAGGGTTCTTCATTTCCTGTTTCCTCTCATCTCCCAACATCCTTGAAATCTTCCCAAGCAGCTACTTTTGCTGTAAAACTTTCTTAACCCTTCAGGTCCCTTCTCCCTGGTCCCATACCAGGTCCCTCAAGTCCCTCTGGAGGCTGGGCTGCTGAGCTTCCTACTCGGATCACTTGCTCCCCTGGGCTTCCTCGTTTGTCTCCTGGAGCGATTATTTCCTGCCTCCTGTGTGTCTCTTCTGTCCCTGAAGCCTGGGCCTGTGGTGTATGTCCCTGTGAGAGGAGGCGGTCACAGGGGGGTAACTCACTGGGCTGGCCTTTGTTCTCCTCCAGTCACCAGTGGAGGACCGGCTACTTGATTTGCATTCTCGGAAGTTGCCTCTTTTCCTGTCTAGCTGTCAGTCTGGAGGGCGTCTCACTCAAGGCCAGCCTCCTCTCCGGTGCTGGAGATGGGCACAGAACAGTGGCTGGCACCCAGCGAACCCCGTCCTAGAGAAAGGGCGACACAGCAGCTCCACTGACATTTCTGGGCTGACTGAGTTTATGAAACATGGCCCTCCCAAGATAACCACATTCTAACTTCCGGGACCTGTGAATGTTGCCTTGTATGGAAACGGAAGCTTCACAGATATACCTAAGCTAAAGGATTTGAGATGGGGAGTTTGTCTTGGATTATTCAGATGGGCCCTTAAGTGCAATCACATAGATCCTTGGAAGAGAGAGGCCGAGGGAGATTTCACACACACACACACACACACACACACACGCAGAGGACAAAGTGATATGGCCGTGAGCCAAGGATGCTGGTGGCTACCTGAAGCTGGAAGGGGCAGAGAACAGATTCTCCCCTGGAGCCTTCAGGAGTGCAGCCCTGGTAACGCCTTGATTTCAGTGATGATGATTTTGGACTTCCAGCCTCTAAACCCATGAGAAAATACATTCCTGTAGTTTAAAGCTGCCCAGTTTGTGGAAATTTGTTACAGCAGTCACAGAAGACCAATACACATGCTATACTTGTGCAAGTCCAAGATTAATAGTTGACCAGACACAAAGGGGAATTCCAGGAGGTTTTTTGCAAAGAGCCTGCTTCAGGAAGTTAGAAATCAAAATGCTAGCACATTCAGATCGTTTTCTAACCAACAGATGGTTAGCATTTTTTGCTTATGCCCTGTATCATCAGCTACAGGGCAAGGACTATTCAGTTCTCATTTTTTAAATTCTCCAATACGACACAATGACCTGATAATTGCTTAATATATATTTACTGTTAATGCTGAAGATAATCATCACTTTCAGGTTCTGTTTGTGGCTTAGCATTCTAGAAGCTTCTGCCGCCTTCAACATCATGGTAGAGGTGCATCCATATTTTAAGACCATTGGTTGAGGTCTTGCTTTCCTCCACTTAAACCCAGAAATTAATCAACTCTGCATTTTAATACCCATATATCGTTGCCATCATGTGAGAGAAAAAAATTGTCTGCCAATTAGCCCAGCAGAATTTAAATGAGTTCTTTTTAATCTTTTCATAATGAAAACTTGGACCAACTGCCATCTGATGTGAAGTGGCAGGTGGGACTGATCATTAGTTTATTCTGTTCCTCCCTCCCATGACGATCATAATGGGTTTTGATTTGGATGGTGCCCATGGCCAGGCATCTCAGGTCCTAGACAGAAACTAATTAAGGAGAAGGCAGGAAAAGGGCAACCTATCCATTTGCATTTATAACTAGAAAGGAAGCTAATGCAATTGAAAAGTTGCATAGAATACAAAATATCCTCAGCTAGAAAATAATAAATCCAATCCAAGAAAACCAGTTCACAGAGCAAAACACCAACTGGAAAGAAAACCAGAATTTAACCTTCTAAAGTGAAGAATGGACTATTCCTCTGTATTCGTATTCACCCTTCAGGTGTTTACCTAATGGTGAAGACACGCTCTGTATTGGCACCTCTCTGGTTTCTGTCTCCTTCAACTCTTATAGTTCCACAGCTGTGAACTGAAGGCTACAGAATTCAGAATATCAGATAGTGATGGAGAAGGGAATTTGGAAATTATTTAGTCTAATATATATATTATTGATTTCAGAGAGGAAGGGGGAAAGATAGAGAGATAGAAACATCAGTGATGAGATAGAATCATCGATTGACTGCCTCCTGCACGTCCCATACTGTGGGGGATTGAGCCTGCAACCCGGGAATGTGCCCTTGGCCGGAATCGAACCTGGGACCTTTTAGTCCGCAAGCCAACGCTCTATCCATTGAGCCAAACTGATGAGGGCTATTTAGCCTATTTATAATAACTACGTCCAGCTTTCAAAATTGTTGTTTTTCTTGACATGGGGAGGATCTCAAAATACACTGGTGGACTTGGATTTGAGGTATTGAACTAAATTTTCTCAAAATTTATTTCAACTCAGCAAATGTTTATTGAGCTCCTTTTTTGTCTCCATTAATGAAGACACGGCCTCTCTCACATGAGAGACAGGTAAATAGTAATGTGCCTTTTGGTGTGATACACTGAGCAAGAGTCTGGAATCTTTCCTGGGGTTGGGGAGAGGGAGCACTCTTCAGCCAACACTTAAAGAATGACTCAGCATTTTCCTGGCAGGTGGGAAGGAGGGACATTCCAGGCAGAAGGAGAGGCAAGTGCGGGCCTGCAGCATCCTGTACAACAGCAGAGGAAATGGGTAGGAGGATGAGGCTGGAGAAACAAGTCTGGTCACGAAGGGCCTTTGAAACCATGCTCAGGAGACTGGAATTAATCCTAAAGATTACAGTCACCAAGCCTGGCTGCACAGGGATCCCCTGGGAAATTCTGAAAAAGCAATTCATGCCCAAGCCCCACCCTGACCAATTGAGTCACCCTTTGTGAACGTGGGGCCTGGGCATTCGAAGTTTTAAAATACGCCCCAGATGATCCTAAGGTCTGCCCAGGACAGAGAATCGCAGCTCTAGACAAGAGGTCCGCAAAGTTTTCCTCAAAGGGCCAGACAGTAAATACTTTCGGTTTTGTGGGCTGTACACTCTCTGTTGAAACTACTCAGTCCCATACAGGCCTACCTGGTTTTACTGCACTTAGCTTTATTGTGCTTCACAGATGTTGTGACTTTTATAAATTGCAGGCAAGACCTTCCACCAGCAAAAAGATTACGACTCGCTTTATTGTGATACTCGCTTTACTGCGGCGATGGAGGACCAATTTGCAGCATCTCTGAGGCATGCCTGTAGAAAGCAGCACTGGCCTGTGGAAAGGAGGGAGATGGCTGTCCTCCAAGGGTTTGCTGTTGATGGCAGGAATCTCTCCTTTTCCTCGGTTCTGCTTTCTGTGGTCTCAGTTACCTGTGCTCAGCCTTGGTTAGAAAATATTAAATGGGCCGAATCCGGTTTGGCTCAGTGGTAGAGCGTCCGTCTGCGGACTGAAAGGTCCCAGGTTCGATTCCGGTCAAGGGCATGTACATTGGTTGCGGGCACATTCCCGGTAGGGGGTGTGCAAGAGGCAGCTGGTTGATGTTTCTCTCTCATCGACGTTTCTAGCTCTCTATCTCTCTCCCTTCCTCTCTGTAAAAAAATCAATAAAAATATATTTAAAAAAGAAAATATTAAATGGAAAACTCCAGAAATAAATAGTTCACAGGTTTGTTTTTTTAACTTTGGGCCATTCTGAGTAATGGGATGAGATCTCGAGTGGTCCTGCTGCATCCCACCTGACTGTACTCCATCCCTTTGTCCGGCATCTCCACACTGTACACACCCCTGCCTGTTAGTCACTTAGTAGGTTCACCAGGTTATCAGATAAGCTGTTGTGGGAATCTCAGTGCTTGGGTTCAAGTCACCCTTATTTTACTTAATAATGGACTCAAAGCACAAGAGTAATGGTGCTGGCAGTTCGGATTTGCCGAAGAGAAGCTGTAAAGTGCTTCCTTCAAGTGAAAAGGTGAGTACAGTATACAATGAGGTGTTTTGAGGGAGAAACCACATTCACTTAGCTTTGATTGCAGTATATTGTATAACTGTTCTATTTTATTATGAGTTTTTATTCTTAATCTCTTGTACCTAATTTAACTTTATCATAGTATGCATGTATAAGGAAAAAAAACCATAGTGCTGCACATAGGGTTTGGCACTATGTAGCACTGAGTGACAGATGGAGAAGCAGGAGATCTGAAGCACAAAGTCATTTCTAAAAATTGAGAGGGATCGTGGGTGCAAAATGCAGGCTCAGGGAGTGGCATCTGAATATACCGTATTTTTCGGACCATAAGACGCTCCGGACCATAAGACACACCAGTTTTTAGAGAAGGGAAATGAAGAAAAAAAGATTCTGAAACAAATAGTGTCCTAAAATATTTTATGTGCATTAAAACCTAACATCACAGTCATAAACACATGTAATCAACCCTGTAAAGTAAACAGCAGCATTTAGAACCATTTTAGAGCCGGGCAAGCACACAGAGACCACACAGAGCCGGGCAAGTAAAAAAACTTTTTTTTTAAAGTATATGTGTAGGCTATATTTGGACCATAAGACACAGGGACCTTTTCCCCCCACTTCTGGGGGGAAAAAAGTGCGTCTTATGGTCCGAAAAATACGGTACATGTCTCTTGTTTTGGGCATTTAACTTTGATAGATTTAAATGGTGGAACGGAGTGCCTATAAATTCACTTGGAAGTGACACAAGGAAGCTAACTTTGCCCACTTCTTTTGCTTTGAAATTCAGTGTATGACTCCGTTGGGAAACTTGGGAGCAATATCCTCAATGGGAACGTGGATAGACTGGGATCTTACAGCGAGTGCCTCTCCACCCAAGCCCTGTCCGGGAGCTTCCAGGGTCAGTACTGCAAGCTTCACATCCTGCAGGTGAGTGTGCACTGCGTGCATGAACCTCATGTTGTGGAACCCATTACAACTTCGCCAATAAGTCTTCTTAATTAAAAAAACAAAACACCTATTCAGTTGTTTTTCAAAACGTTAAAACTAAATTTTAAACAGTGGCAGAACGTTGCTCTGAGTGTGGGACATTATAAGAGGCAGTTGTTCACAGACCACATAGGCCTTTAGATGTTCCTCCTACTGTATTATATGGGGCAAGACCTCTGGAGGACCTTCGTGGGAACGCCAAGGTCAAGTCCCAGCCAATACTCTTGAGCATTAACTCCTGACTTACCATCAGTGTTCAGAACACAAGGGAAAGTAGACTTCCCATTACCCATAATCCTGTCCCAGAAACAGAGTGCAACACAGGAATTTGAGGTCATCCTAGCAGATAGGCTGGGACTTCTAACACCTTATCACTAGGCTCACTATCTTCTAAGCATGTTATCTTTTTACTGCTGGGCAGTGGAGGGAGGAGGGAGGGACTAGTAAAAGCATGGCCTCCTATTAAATACAAAGATAGACTTTATGCATGTCACAACGCTAAAAGAAAATACAATTCTGATTGGCTAATAACAACAGTATAAAATGACAAGCAATCCAAAGTCTCGGCTATTAATACTATAAAATGGTCTGACAATGGTCAACCATTGGACATAGGGAGATTGTCACCCAGCTCCATTTGTCCCCCGGAGAGTTATGATGGTTGCCTCAGAATTTAACCAATGTGTACAAATGTTGCATCCTGTTTTCAAAGCAGATGAATGGTTTTACTATCAGAGCAAAAGGTCAGGCCTACACAATCATGCAAGTCATATGTTCAGTAGCATCCCAGAGACCTTTACTTATAATTGGTATTGGTTTTATTGGGACAGGCATTCTAATTATTGGCTTGATTTATTTGTAAAATCTTTACTTGATCTATCATGTCCTGCTAGGGTGAAATGACAAGTTGGCAGCATTATTAAAAATTGTAGGAGTGTAAATTTTTAATATGGGAGAGGGATACTCTGGGGCAAACTCCCACACTGGGGGTTGCTTTCCAAATAATCAGCTACATTAAGCCTTGGAGCACATTTTTATTTAAATATGGGTGCATGGGGACATTCCATAAATTCACCGGAAATACTCTGTTATGGAAAAGCCATCCCCAAAGACAGCCAACTTTTCCTCTTTCCCAGTGTGCTGAATTCATGTGTAGTGCCACCACAGCCTTACTTACTTAGAACCAGTATGTACATATTTCATGGACGTTGGCGGTAAGGAATGCTGTGGCCTTCTGTTTCCCAGGATGTAGCTGACTACATTGTGGGCGTGTGTGTCCCTGATTCTTGTGCAGAAGAGGATGTGACTGCGATGGCTCAGCTGGGTAGGTGCAAAAGAATCCCCAGAGGGCCCTAGCTAGTGTTCTCAGTGGTTAGAGCATTGGCTCCTGCACTGAAGGGTCACAGGTTCGATTCCCTTCCAAGGGCATGTACCTGGGTTGCAGGTTCAGTCCCCAGCCCTGGTTGGGGCACAGCCCTGGTTGGGGACAGCCAATCGATGTGTTTCTCTCTCATCTATGGTGGTATTTTTCCCCTCTTTCTCCTCGCCCCTTCCCTCCCTTTCATTCTCTCTAAAAAGCAATGGAAACAATATCATTGGGTGAGGTTTAGCAACAACAAAGAATACCTAGAGAAACTATTGTCTCAGCATAAAGCTTGAAAAACCCCAACTCCTCAGAGCCAAGAATGGCCATTTTTTCTGGATCAAATGAACCTTTCATTCTGATAAATGCAATCAGCTGAGACTAATGGAGTTTTGTGAGGTATTTTTTTTGGGGGGGGATGTTGGGAGTGGTGGTGATGGCATAGAAAGGGAGAAGGCAAGAAGGAGGAGAAAAAATAAAGAGAAGGTAGGAGATGCATCTTTATGCAATAAAATTTTAAGTGAAATTTTGAGTACAGTATACAATAAGAGGAAGTAGGCAATGTCCGGTTTCTTTTCTTTTTCTCTCTTTCTCTCTTTTTTTCTTTCTTTCTCTCTCTCTCTCTCTCTCTTTCTTTCTTTTCTTTTCTTTTTTTTTGTAATATATTTTCATTGATTTCAGAGAGGAAGGGAGAGGGAGAGAGAGATAGAAACTTCAATGATGAGAGAGAATCATTGATAGGCTACCTCCTGCACCCCCCTGCTAGGGATTGAGCCCACAATTTTGGCATGTGTCCTTGACTGGAATTGAAACCCAGGCCCTTCAGTGCGCAGGCCAATGCTCTATCCACTGAGCCAAACCAGCTAGGGCGAGGTGTCTGGTTTCTATATTGCGAGTGTCCTGTGCTGGGGTCCATGTGTGGAGGTCTGTCAGCTGCTACATCCAGATAAACTAGGATTGCGTGAGGCCCACATGTGGTAATGGATTAGTGGTAAGCGCCCAGCTTTGGTCCTGGTTGTCACCTCCCAGCTGTGTGATCCGGGCAAATCACTTAATCTCCCCATACATCTCCTCTTTCTATAGAGAGGATAGGCAGGCCAGTCAGTCTGAATCCAACTCTTGGTGACCTTCCAAACACTTTGGACCTTACCCTGCAGAATGTATACATTTTAGTTCCATGAAAACTGGTTTAATTTCCTCAACTCCTTCAAAATTTTTAAAGCAAGAGCTTTAAAACCTAAAATTGTTGATTCTTGTGTTTATTCTGGTTACCAAAATAAGAACTAACATACATCCCTGGCTAGTGTGGCTCAGTTGATTTATCGTCATCCTATACACTGAAAGGTTGTAGGTTCAATTCTCGATCAGGGCACATGCTAGGGTTGCAGGTTCGATCCCCAGTAGGTGGTGAGCAGGAGGCAGCTATTCAGTTTCCCTTTTTTTTTTTTTTTTTTTTTTTTTTTAATATATTTTATTGATTTTTTTACAGAGAGGAAGGGAGAGAGATAGAGAGCTAGAAACGTCGATGAGAGAGAAACATCGACCAGCTGCCTCTTGCACATCCCCTACTGGGGATGTGCCCGCAACCAATGTACATGCCCTTGACCGGAATCGAACCCGGGACCTTTTAGTCCGCAGACTGACGCTCTACCCCTGAGCCAAACCGGTTTCAGCCAGTTTCCCTTTTACATTGATGTTTCCCTCTCTCTCTCCATCTCCCTTCCTCTCTCTCAAAAATCAATTTTAAAATATATTTTAAAAAAGAAAACACTGTTCCTCTATTCATAGAACCCTTCTGACACCAAAGGTGGGATTTCCCCCTCACCTTATGTATTTATAACACTGATTAACGGTAGGTAGTGCTGACCCCATACGTTAAAGGCACAGCCCCAAAAGATTCCCCCCTACTTCAGATGCCAGTTGGAAGTAGTGGGTTCCCAGATTACCCATTTCTGGTTTGGCTGCAAATTAGGTGATCCCATGACACCCTCCTCGGATTTGATAATTTGCTCTAATGGCTCGTAGAACTCAGGGAAACACTTTACTTACTACTTCTGGCTTATTACAAAGGACAGAACTCAGAAAGAACCCAGAGGAAGGAGTGCACAGGGCAAGATGTGTGGGAAGGGGCACAAAGCATCCTGCCCTCTCAGGGTGCACCCCGCACCCCCCTCCTCCAGCACCTCGGTGTCTTTGTCAACATGGAAATTCTCTGAATCCCTTCCTTTGGGATTCTCATGAAGTTATATTAGGCACAATTGATTAATTCATTGGCCACTGGTGATTGACTCAAATCCCACCCCCTCTCTCTTCTCTAGAGGTGAGAGATAGGGCTGAAAGTTCCAACCCTCTTATCACAAGATTTGTTCTTTTCTTTTCTTTTCTTTCCTCTTTTCTTTTCTTTTCTTTTCTTTTCTTTTCTTTTCTTTTCTTTTCTTTTCTTTTCTTTTCTTTTCTTCTTTTCTTTCTTTTCTTTTCTTCTCTTTTCTTTTCAAAAAATATATTTTATTGATTTTTTACAGAGAGGAAGGAAGAGGGATAGAGAGCTAGAAATGTCGATGAGAGAGAATACATCAACCAGCTGCCTCTTGCACACCCCCCACCGGGGATGTACCAGCAGCCAAGGTACATGCCCTTGACCAGAATCGAACCCGGGATCCTTCAGTCCGCAGGCCAATGCTCGATCCACTGAGCCAAACTGATTTTGGCAAAATTTATTCTTTTTGGCAACCCACCCCCAGCCCATTCCCAAGGAGTCCCCTCATTAGCATAACCTCAAGTATGGTTGAAAGAAGTTTATTATGAATAACAGCAGTTGTTCCTCTCACCTCTAACACGCAGGAAATTCCAAGGGCTTTAGGAGTTCTGTACCAGGAACTGGGGATGAAGATCTAATATATATTTATTATGTCACAATATCACACACATTATTAAAAGTCCTCTTTTCAGTGTTTATATCGGAGCTAACCTTCAATCACCTTAATTTTCCTCCGAATTTATGATTATCCCTAGAGCTCTAGACACATTATTTATCTAGCCAAATATTTTATGTGCTTTTAAAAAGAAAACCGATTGTAATAAATCAAATTTTAATTTTAATTCTTGTTGAATAAGTCACAAATAGCCTCGCAACAAAGATAAATTTGCAGTTTTATTAAATTAGCATTTCAAGTGAATAAATGACTCCCTAAATCTGAGTTAATGTTCATATGATTTAAGAGATTTATCAATTAGCCTCGTTTTTTAAATGTTAAGCTTATTAGTCAGAATTGAATGATAAAATAAAATTAGAATAAAATGGGAGGGTAGAAGCTATTATTAATACAAATATATTTTATTTGTTTTTCAATTACAGTTGGCACACAATTTTATGTTAGTTTCAGGTATACAACATAGTGATTAGACTTTTATTTTTTTTATTTTTTTATAAATATATTTTATTGATTTTTTTACAGAGAGGAAGGAAGAGAGATAGAGAGCTAGAAACGTCGATGAGAGAGAAACATCGACCAGCTGCCTCTTGCACACCCCTCACCGGGGATGTGCCCGCAACCAAGGTACATGCCTTTGACCGGAATCAAACCTGGGACCTTTCAGTCCACAGACCGATGCTCTACCACTGAGCCAAACCAGCTTCGGCGTGATTAGACTTTTATATAACTTATGAGGTGGTCACCTCAGAAGTCTAGCACCCATCTGACATCATACACAGTTATTACAATGTTATCGATTGTATTCTGTCTCCTGTACTTGACATCCCCATGACCATTTTAATAACTGGCAATTTGTACTTCTCAATCCTTTTCACCTTTTTTTACTTAGCCTTCCAACCCCCTCCGATCTGGTGACCACCAATTTGCTCTCTTTTGCAAAGATATTTTAATGATTTTCTGAGGAAGTGGAGAAAGGATTAGGGTGAGCAGAGCTGACTTGGATATAATTCAGTCCTCACTGCCAAAGCATTTCTTCAGCTCTGCACAGATAGTAGATCAAAATGGGAAGGTCTTTGCCCAGGGGAAAAGGTTCCCATCTGGAAAGGATTTGTCAGCTGTTCCTTATACTTTTGATGGAGTTGCCAATATTTCCCCCACAGTGTGGGGGTAACCAGCTCAACAATCACAAGAGGAAGCTGTTTGTGCAGACTTTACTCATTTAGAGCAGGAGGGCAGGGAGTTAACCCATGGAGACCATAGCAGATAAGCAAAAAAGAAACTAGTCAGTATTGCACAGAGAGGGAAAAAGACTCTGGGCAGAGCAGAACATATTGCAAAAACTGCACAGTGTGATTGCTGTGGAATGTGGAATAAAATTTAAGCCAGCGTGTGTGGGTTCCTGAGAATGAAAATACGTAGCACCAGAGTGTTGAGATTCTAGATAAAATTTGGATGTGATGATTACAAATCTAGTTACAGGCCCGAACAATTTATATGTGCATATTTCAGTGTCACTGAGTTCCATTTCCTAGGGATTGTTGGGGAGGAAAAAAATTTCTTTCTACCCTTCTAAGTTCTTTGACTGGTTTAATAATTAAAATGATGTAAGATAGTTTCACAGGAAAAGAATTTAATTCCATATGTATGGGAAATATTGAAAAATACTTCCCCCCTCTCCCCAAAAAAAGAAAGAAAAAGAAAAATACTTCCCATAAAAATACAAAGCCCAAAGGCAAGTTGGCAGTTGAGGCTTAGATGCCATCTTGGACTCAGGAGTGGGATAGGGGTGTAGGGCTTCAAAGGACAGCAGAGTGATTCACAGGACAAGTACAGGTGCTTGGTGATTAGATGTTTGCTTTGCAATACAGATGGGATATTCAGATCAAAGTTATCTCTGTTAATAGCTTTCCCTCAGAGCCAGGCCTCTTATCAAAACTCTTTTAGGCATTTTGTGGTGGCATATTCTACTCTCCTTCCACATCCTATAGCACAATTTCATAACCTGGGCAATTTAAGATGCATCACTCC